CACACACACACACATACACACGTTTTCTTTGATGCTAGCTTAACAATGGTAAACATATAATACTGGATTTTCAGCACACGCCTAACTAAAGCAGAAAAAATTGACCTATTGTAACACCGCGATCATTGTTACGTTGTGACAGCATTGCAGTTACAGAGATGATCAAGTCAACCATTCACTCATCAGACAGATATTTAATGACTGATGATTCAAAGTTACTACCCTTCATTAAAAAAACCCACTCTCTATCGCGTAACCGCCCCCCCCCCCAATCCCCCCCCTTCTTCAAAACATCTAACAAAAATAGATTCTTACCAGACATTACGCAGACCATCTCCTGGTTTATAACTGATTGTACATTTATATTGTCACAAATGTAAGGTTCTCATCTCTGTGGAGGTTTCCTGATAGCTAACAGTCTATCTGCGTTGCGCTGGAGTGCGGGGATCGGGCAGTGTCAGGTGTGGCTCCACCTTGGTTACAACACGGCTTACTTCGTGCTTCTCCAGGTTTTGAGGCGGCAACAGGATCTTGAAATGGCGTCTGATGATTTTCTTTTCTTTTGTTGAATGGTGGTCTTTTCAGCATTTTCACGTCGTCACCGACATAATTTTGATAATTTAGGAGGTTGGCTTCTGACCCTGCCTGGCAGGGCCAACCCGGGATGAGAGGGGTGAATCCCAGCAGAAAAACCAAGATACTCGATTAAAAAAAACACTTTCTACCCACTAGAGAATTGAACTTGGGTCTCTTGAGTGCGACAGCGAAACGTCTAACTGCTACCCCTCAGACGCCTGCAGAGGGTAGTGGTGTCTGTGTAGCTGGTGGTTTGGAAATCATCGGTCGCAATTATTGGTCTTGATGACGACAATTGGTGATGATGCCATGCCCCCTAAGTTTGTACTTGGACCGGTTTTCTCGACAGCGGAACCTGGTAGCCGTCTCGCCCCTTAAGTACTTAAATTGAGTTAAAAAATACAAAACACCCCTGTGTTCGGCTCAATGATCCATTCTACAGACGACAGTTCTTTTTATGTTTTAGTGTGTGGTTTACGGCATTTGCAACACAATAAGATCATATACATGTAAAGGCCGAAGATGTGTTACAAGAGAGTAACAAATACGAAAGCGAAAGAGGAGATATAACGACGGTATAATATGTTTGATAAGAAAGAGAGAGCAGACCACATCAGAGCAAACACCAACCACCTACTCACAACTGATTGGGCGTGATGGTTCTTATGGCACAGTTGTTTGGCTTTGAACCGTCGTTGTAAGTGAAGGGTGCAGAAGGTGTAAAGGTGTCTTTAGTGACAGGCCTATCGGAAAAGTCTTTACGACATTTTCTCGCTCAAGTTTATCAAGCTCTTGCTCTCTGCCTTCTCTGAGAGTAGTTGGTGAGTGCTCTGGTGTGGTATGCTCCGTTTTTCCTATCAAACATCAATCGTCCGAATCTCTCCTCCTTTTTTGTTTTTTTTAACTCTCTTGTAATAACTCTAATCTATGGTAGTTTTATGACCTTATTATGATGTAAGTGCCGTAAAACTCTTACTAAAATGTATGCCTTCTCTAAGGGGAAAAAGACATCTGTCTAGTTTTGCAAAACGTTAGAGCTCCATTTTCCTCAATGCGAGTTTTTTTTTTTCTATAACCTTCAAGGACTCCTAGCTCGTCAATAAACAATCTCTGTGGTCATGTAGGAGAGTCTCAAGAGATCTGACTTCCTTCACTTTCTTGTCTTGTACCTTCACTGTGAAAATGACATGTGTGAGGCACCGTGGTGAAATCAGGCGCTCGTCAATAAATAACGAAATCGAAGAAACAGGCATTTCGAGGCGGCAACAGAATCTTCAAATGGCGTCCGATGATTTTTGTTTTTTGGCTCAACAACTTGTCCAGTTAAAACACATTTCCATGTGAATGTTACCGAAAAACGTTGAGTGAAGGCAGAACATATGTACTTTTCAGTTTTCAAAGACTCTCTAGCAATTGAATTTACCAAATTTTGGTAGCCATTTTCTCACTAATTCTGCTACTGAAACCACGCAACCTCATCTTCTTCAATCGCAAATATTTCGACTTCTATTCAAGACAAATGGGTATTTGTTGAATCGAAAGCAAAGCAAACGAATAAGTTTTCAGGTGATAATGATACCAATAACTCAACATGCCCAAATATTGTCGAGCGCTTGATTCCACCGGACCGCTCCACATTTCCCAATTCAAGTTCATGCACTGATGAAGCCAATTTCTACTTAACAAGCGGGGGTCTTGTTCTTCCAAGATGACGAGAGATAGGATTTTTGTCTGAGACTTGTACCTGGCTTCCACTTTCCCATTAGCTTAATGATAATTGTGCAGTTTTTCTACCGGTGTATTTTTTCAGCTTTTCCTGTCTTTTCTAAAGGTCGGTTTGGCCTTCTTCTTTTCCTCGATCGCATCACACTTGAAGTCTGGTATCTGTCATAAATTGGGCCATCCTGCTCAGTTCATCTGTCGGCCCGTATAGCTTCTCCTGCAGTGTCAGTGGGGTTGGCCACGTTTCCCGTCTCATTGCCCTGTGAGTCTTGCAGTGCTGAAGGATGTGTTCAACAGTTTGGTCCGCCTATTCACACTGACATTTTGGTGATTGTTCTAGTTTAAAAACGATTTTGGCCAAAACGACCGAAACACAGCATGATTCACCATTGATAGTGTTGCACACGTGTCAGTCTGAAATGTCAGGTTTGCATTGTCACTGTCTACACGTAATTTGACATTAGGAAGCCATTAACATAATTTGTCTTCTCGCAAACAGTTCTGCCCGTAGCAATCAAAAGCCGAATCACTATGTCTAGAATTATCTCCCTGCTCATCCACAAACTTCACGGTTTCCTTGTGACTTGTCTGAGATAGAGGGAAGTCTAGTTCTACACTTTGAACAATAAGCCCATTTTTTCTGGCCTTTGAAACTCACCCTATCTATAAATTATCTTCGTGTTGGAGACCGGTCAATCCTAAACATTCAGAGAACTTCTTTTCCCTAAAACTACTGGTTTCCAGCCATCTCTGACCACGATTGTCATCATGGAACATAGTTAGACAGAAAAAAAGAGAAATAACAAGAAAACAAAGTAGTACCTACGGGTAACCCCCCCCCCCCCCCCCCCCCCCAAAAAAAAAAAATTAAAAAAAAAGAAAATAATAAATAAAATAATTTAAAAAAAAAATCACAAGCGATAGTTTGACAGACTAAGAACTAAGTGACTCACTGCAAGAAGATATAGATGTCGACGAGAGCCACGAGAATGACGATCAGTAGGACGACGATGAGGATGATCACCCACATGTTGGAGGCGGAGACAGCAACGAACCCGGCAACTGGGGAAGAGAGAAGGTAGAAGACATGGGTTAGGTGTGGTTTGGGTTTGAGTCATTCTCCCTTCCAGGCGAGTCGCCCAAGACCTCGCTCCAGACTCAAGGTCCTTTTTCTCCAAGTGCAGCCCAGATCTGGAACAGCCCAGACGTCGGGGAACATGGTTCACTTCCCAGCTTACTGCTCGGACGCTAAAAAAAAACCTCCCTCCAAATCTTAGATTAGATCTATGGTGTATCTAGTGGCTACATATTTCTGTCACTCTTCGCATCTTTGTAGCAAGGAAGGTTGAATCTGATTTCCTTATAGAGTTCTTTCTTCCAGCTTCCTGTCTTCAAAGGGGAGACTCAAACATCGTGCTTTGGATGGCGGGGAAGGTTTTCATCTGCTCTGCACATTCGTCTCAAAACGTTTCCTGTCACTGAAGGTTTCGTCTCCTTTGAAAAAAAACGGGCAGTAAAGGAGAGGACATTTTGACCAATCAAGTGCATGTTTTCTGATAACCATTTTTTGACGTTTTTATAAGTATGCTCTTTCCACAAGCCTGGGAATAGCCCCAAACGCGATAAAGAAATCTCTTGGCACGATAGAAAGTCCTGTCGTAGATCCATTTCCTTTTGGAGGCAGTTCTTCTGGTCATTTGGTGTAACGTGTCTTCGGAACCTCAGACTTCTCAGAGTTCAGAAACTTGCAGCAGCCTTTTAGGTCAGGGATGACAAACTCAATCGTGCGAGGGCCCACACTCAAGTTACACTCAAGGCTGACAGCTGAACTGGATAAACACTCACAGAGCAGTGGTAAACGTAACCGTTTTTAAAACAATGATATGAATTAACACAGACAAACAATACAATCTTAATAACAAATCAAAGCACACCATCGTTATTACGCTAAAATGTCACAGCTAGGTGTCCGACATCTTTTTCTTGGCCATAAGCTAGTTTATGATTAGAGTCAGGTTCTATGATTATGGAAATTCTCTGGATGGAATACCTAAAATTCTCTCGAAAACTGTATACAAATGTGTTCAGTTTTTTCGGCTAATTTCAAACATATCATTTCTCCACACACACACACACACACACACACACAGACACACACACACACACACACACACACACACACACACACACACACACGCGCGCGCGCACTCGCACTAACATACACATGTTACATACACGCTCTTGAGAATCTGGAGTGTAATTGATGGAACTAAAGAAAAGGACAAGAGGCGACCTCTTCAATAATGTATCTAGGCAAGGGATAAAAACGACCGAAATTGTTCACTGTCTACAGTCATAAGGAGATGACACAATAACATTTTTTAAGGACCATGCGTTTTAACGTGTGGTTACAAGCGCATCCCCAATCTTATTGAGAGTCAAATTCCATTCATCATTATAACTTACTCCTAAAGCTGCAAACACACAAAGAGTACATTGAGTATCGATATAATAAAAACATTAGACAAGATGAGATGTTGGCAAGGCATTGTCGCTATTCCATGGTCCTCCATTAGAAATGCCTGGCGGGTTAGGATAAGAAGCGATAAACAAATTATCACACATTCAAAATCGAGGTAAAAACAAAAAAAGTCCTGCACCCATTTTAAGTCGACGAGTCAAAAAATGTGTAAGCAAAGCAAATCAGTTTTCGATAACTAATTTTTACAAAATTTGTCTAAGCTACCCCCAAATTTCTAAAATGTTAGGACAATTCTAAACCTAGGCCGCCACAGTGATCAACGGGTGCACCAAAAGTATCGTAGAGAGGTTCAAACATTCAAAGAGGCATAACAGAAAATTTTGACTCTGACATTATTCAAGCAGGGGTGTTCAATCAACATACACTTAGCTAACATATATAATTATAATATATAATATATATCGTGTGTGTGTATGTATGTATGTGTGTGTGTGTGTGTGTGTGTGTGTGTGTGTGTGTGTGTGTGTGTGTGTGTGTGTGTGTGTGTTTGTATGTGTCGGTGTGTGTGTGAATATTGTGTGTGTGTGTGTGTTTGTATGTGTGTGTGTGTGTGTGTGTGTTTGTATGTGTCGGTGTGAGTGAATAGTGTGTGTGTGTGTGTGTGTGTGTGTGTGTGTGTGTGTGTGTGTGCGCGTGTGTGTGTGTGTGTGTGTGTGCGTCTTTCATTCGACGCGTTACCCACTCCTGAGTACTGGGAACAACAAATTGCCCTCTTCCACGTCTCAGCTCGCTGGCTTACCTGAGCCCCATGGTTTAGTTGGCCCCTGTTGTCCTGGGGTGAAACGGATCGGTTCGTCGTTAGAAAGATCTGAGTTGCTTTTCTTGACAATGTTTTTAAAAATCTATAAATTAAAAATTGTTAAATTTTTTAAAAAAGAAATAAAAGAGGTGTGATAAAATAAAATAAAATAAAATAAAATAAAATAAAATAAGACAAAATTCACAAAAACTCGGACACGGTCGGAAAAGGAAGAAAGAATACATGTTATCAAACATAATTATTCGGTGGTATCAAATTCAGCATCGATTAAGTACTTTAGAGCCTTCTACCTACCCCCGCTGACAAATTTTTTAAACGAAGATATGTTTTTACGTCCCCATCGAAACAGTTTTGATCAGATTATAGGAGGCGGGTTTCAACCTTATGTGCCAGATCTGATCCAGCCTGAGAGGGATACAACATCTCAGCAGAAAGACAGAGATACTAAGACTTGATAAAAAATTCTCTTTACTCCGGAATCGAACTCGGCCCCCTTGCATGCGACAGCAAGGCTCCAAACTGATACACCTCCAAACTGCTACATCACAGATGTCGGTAGAATAATCTTAATAGAAGTTTTATATGAACAGAAAGTTATTGGGGCGGGGGGGGGGGGTAATATATAATATTACAACTCATCATAAACAAGGTGTCAGATGATCATTCTCAGTTACCAGGCAGCAGGAGGTCCCCTACAGGAACTTGGAGTTTTTGCATGAAACAAAACTGGGGGTCCTTTGAAAAAAGATTATGACTGAATACAATGTAGTAAATTACCCAGCTTCTCTCAGCCCCCCAGCTCTTTCGTGGTGTCAGGATTTTCAAGAAACTCTGCTATCATCCCCGCCTACTCCCCCCGGCCCGGCGTCCATTCTTTGGTCTTACCTATTCCACCAAACTGTTACCTAGACCACCCCTTTCTTTGTTGACACCGAGCGAGAGAGAGTGGGGGGGTGAGAGAGTGCCCTAGAGACAGAGGCGGAGTCGAGAGAGAGAGAGAGAGAGATAAATAAAAAAAGAAAATTTTTGTTATAGGATAGACCCTTCACCCCTTAAAAAACTAACTAGCGAGAAAGTGAGAGAGAGAGAGAGAGAGAGAGAGAGAGAGAGAGAGAGAGAGAGAGAGAGAGAGAGAGAGAGAGAGAGAGAGAGAGAGAGAGAGCAAAACTGAATAGAGAAAGTCAGATATTGAAATTGAAAATGAACTAAAAATAATAATAATAATAATAATAATAATAATAATAATAAATAGCATTTATACTGCGCATACTAAGAAAGAAAGACAGTCAGAAATTAGGAATGACAAAATGTAAATAAACAAAAAGAGGCAAATAGGAAAAAAAACAAAAAAACATAGATGAAATAAGAAGGGAAAACAGACATATTTAAACGACAAAATATAAGACAAAAAACAAAGAAAACAGAAATTATGAATTTACGAAGTAGAACGAGGGAAAGGTGAGGGGGGGGGGGGGGTGATCAATTATGTATTCTATGTCTGTTTGCCATTATTAGCCAAATTTCCACAAGGTGATTATAAAAGTATTATTTATTTATTCATTTATTTATTTATTTATCTGTTTATTTATTTATTGTTTATTTACTCATTTTTTGTTAGAAAACTGGTGATTCTCTCAGTAGTTATATATATAATAATACGCGGAAAAATAATAAAAACAATAATAATAGTAATACAATTGTAATAGTGATAATAATAATAATTATTATTATTATTTTAATAATAATAAAAATAATAATAATAATAATAATAATGATAATAATAATAATAATAATAATAATAATAATAATAATAATAATAATGATAATAATAACAATAATAATAATAATAATAATGATAATAATAATAATAATGATAATAATAATAATAATAATGATATAATAATAATTGCATTATGTAGCGCACATCCACGCTCTACTGCATGTTCTATACGCTTTACTACTGTTAATACCCCTGCGGACCCAAGAACACTACGGGCTCAACACCTTAACCACAAGACCACCGACATCACGTTGAGAGCATAAATATATTATCTTTTCCCTATAACGGGGTGGTCTGTCTTGACCAAGTTATTTCGACGGAATGATGCTGATGAAACTGAAGATTACAAACAAGCGTAACACTCATGTGTCTGTTGAATTGAAACAAGAAGGTTCGAGAAGGTGTTTCAATGTCTCTCCCTTCCAAAATTCCAGTCGGCCTATAGTATTATAATTTCTTTTTAGTATACGGAGTAGTAATAGCTGCGGATGTTCAACGCGTCCATTGACACACTTTGGATCTTTTTGAAGACGGCCGTTTCAACCCTGCCCGCCAGGGCCAACCCAGGCAGACATGGAAAAAGTAATCACTCAAGCAGATAGACGGAGTGGGTCTACTCCTGTGGAAAAAAAAAATCCCACACACTAATCGAAATCACGTCTTCAGCATGCGACAGCCAAGCACCTAACTGCTGCACCACGATCTTTGTGTTTATCATATGGAATACATATAATCATGCAGCTTTTTTGTATTGTACGTATTTGTATGTATCTGCGTAGTCTAATGAATGGCCGTAGACTTGAATCACTGTGACGTTGAATGTTTTCCCTCGCAATCGGATTGTCATGAGCCTTGTTGAAACTGACTGGCATAAACCACCGAGTTCCTGAAGTATTTCGTTGACAAGGAAACCCACGACACCAGTGTGCCTGTTCTCTATTCCGGTATAACTGGATAGCTGAAGGTGTCATCTATGACTCAGAAGTTTACGTGTAATGACCCCCATCTTTCACGGACGCGAGCTGCCGTTGCACATTCTGCCATATCCAGGTCAGTCCATGTCCTTATGTTGTCCATCAATGTTATTCTTTGCCTTCCTCTGGCTCTCCTGCCCTACGTTTTTCTCTTTAAGCACCCCTTTCACAACAGTGTCGTGTCGTTTTAAGAGGCCACAGTTTTGTATTTTTCTACATCTAATTTTATTCGGCAGGGTTTGTCTTGGGTGTAGAATTTGACAAACCTCTTTCTTGTTGTTGGTTTTTTTGTTTGTTTGCTGTTGGGTTTGTTGTTTGTTTGTTTTTTTTGGGGGGGGAGAGGATGTTTGTTTTCCAACTTATTCTGGTCATTCTAGGAAAAAAAAAAGCCACACAGATGAAATAAGAAAGTAGAACAGACATATTAAAACGACAAAACATAAGACAAAAAAAAATACCAACAGAAATTATGAATTTACGAAGTAGAACGAGGGAAAGGTGGAGGGGGGGGGGGGGTGAATCAATTATGTATTTTATGTCTGTTTGCCATTGTTAGCCAAATTTACACAAGGTGATTATAATAGAGTTATTTATTTTCACAATTGTCAACGAAATACTTCAGGAACTCGGCGGTGTATGCTCGTCAGTTTCAACAAGGCTCATGACAATCCGATTGCGAGGGAATTTGACACACCTCTTTGTTGTTGTTGGTTGTTTTTTGTGTGTGTTGTTGTTGTTGTTGTTTGTTTGTTGTTGTTGTTTTGTTTTTTTGTTTTTTGGGGGGGTGTTAGTTTTCCAACTTATTCTGGCCATTCTACAGTAGCACCACTTCTTCTTTCCTTGTCAAAGTCCAGGCCTCTGTGCCATATAGAAATATGAGGAAGATGTAGCAATCCAGTATTTTCTTTCTTAGTGAGATACAGTTGCCTGGATTTAAATAGTTTGTACATTTGGCTGAACCTTGTTTTTGCAGCTGCTGTTTTTATGTTTATTTCTTTTTCACTTCTACCATCATCTGTGATTGTTGCCCCATAAATACTTGAATTGGTGCTCTTGTTCTATTCTCTCCCCATCTTTGGTTATGTCTGTTGTTTTTCCAGAAGATTTTGATGAGACCATTGTTTATGTTTTCTTGGTGTTCATGTCGAGTTCTGCCTTGCTGCTGTTCACTTTTACTACTTTCACAATTTTAGAAATATATTCGTTTGTGTTTGCCCGCAGAACTGAATCATCTGCGTATCTCAGGTTATTGATGTTGCGGAATAGTAGAACATGTGTACGATGTATACCTTCCACCAATTTGCACTTCTCCAGCCTTTAAAAAAATTGTAGGTATTTTACGCCCCTGTTGCCATAGCTTCTTCAATAGTGTACCGTCTTATTTCATAAAACCCAAGAAGAAAAGAAGGATGCACGCAGTTGTGTCTCTCCTTCGCATAGGTATCAACTAGCTGGGTAACCGTTCGATGAACGGACTCAAAAGAATCGATCGTCAAGTCATTGTGGACCAGTGCTCACTTCTTGTTAACGGAACCTTCACTTGTTTACAATGGCGCCTTAGAAAACGGACTTTCTCAAGATTAGATCTAAACGAAACTAATGAAAACTAAAAGTTAAAGTACACTGACTTCAGACTCCTTAGTATAACTGGGCACCCTTTAATTGATTCTGAACTATCATTTTTTTTTTTCGAAATAGAAAATTAAGTGGTTCGGAAGTCAAAATGACGAACTCTCACAAACATAATACACTAGCTGGGCACCCCGTTCGATTAACGGACTCAAAAGAATCGATCGTCAAGTAATTGTGGGTACAGTGCGCACTGCTTGTGAACGGAAGCCTCACTTGTTTACAATGGCGTCTTAGAAAATTTGTTTATTTCCCGCGGAAGAGCAATTTTTATATCATGGAAAACGAAATATGTCTTGAACAGTGCATTGAAATGACGAACGGGAAAATTGTAAACGGCTAATAGTGTTTTAAATTTTCCTAAACATTTTTAGGCGAATGTAAGCTTTTATTGACATGATAGAAACTTAGCTTGGTCTTTGAACTACCTTCAGTAATTTTTTCTCGGTTCTAGGTTCCGTAGGTTTTTTTCCAGCTATAAACAACCGTCCACATGAACGCAATCAGACACAGGGTGTCCCTCGCTAGACGCACCTTGGGGGAAATACACTAGACTTATACAATGGCACCATAACCCCCCCCCCCTCCTTTTAAGCACTCCTCAGCCTCCTGTGTAGCATGAGTTTCCGAGTGGCCATCGGAATGTTCTTTTTGCACTGACCTTCTTTTCTGCAATTTTATTTTTTCGAGCGACGACAGACTCTGACGAAATCTGTTAGTTCTTTACTCACCCTGCAGCGCACCACTAACAGATTCCGAAATGACACTGTCTCCAATTGTACTCATCCTGAGGTGTGTCATTGAAACGGGGGAAAAAAACCCTAGCCGAGCCTACCCATCTTCAAGTTAGTTCCGAGTACCTGAATTTGTCATCTCTGGCCCAAAGGTTGAAGTGTAAATACCCGCCAGCTGTTCCCGAGCATTTTGTCCTAATATAGTTTTTTTTTAATAGTAGAGGGTTTTACGGCGCTCGCAACTGCATAAGGTCATATGAGCGCCAAGGGGTGGGTCTTTACAGGGAATCAGACTTAGACTGCTCACCTCTCTAGCTTCAACAGCACAAGGTCTGCTTCGAATATCAAGGCACACCAAAATAACAGGTCACAAAAGAGTGACAAACATACAACAGAAGTAGAGGAAAATGGCAATAGTAAGGATCAGGAAAGAAAAAGCAGCAGTTCCCTGTTATAGATCAGGCACAGTTATGAGCGTGACATGAGTCAGCCCATTTACAATTCTACTACGCTTGAACGTGAAATGTCCCCCCTTTTGGGAAAGGCCTAAAGAGTGTCAGTGGCACTGCCGCAGGGGTACAATATAGTTTAGTCCAGTCCATACTTTTGTGTAGTTGGCCCACAGTAGATATCTACAGTAAATATCCTACAACTAGGTGGCTTGCTGTGGTCGTGATCCTGTGGCCACTGGAGGTTGTTCTTTAGCCAAGCGCTGCCGAGCTAGTGTTTATCCGCTCCCCATTGATAAATAAACAAATATATAAATAAATAAATTGACAATTGAAAAACATGTAATAATAATGTAATAGTTATGTTCTCGTTTGTTGTGTGCATGGATGAGTGCATAATATGACCTTTGTAACTCCATTGCCCTTGTATACGATCAAGACAAATAAGAGAGAAGAAGATTAAAATGTTTTAATTGAAAAACGATAGACCGATAAAGAACACATTTTGTTTTCAAACGGAAAAAGGAATTAGCTTTTTCGATAACCGATTTAAAAGAAAAAGTTAATAAAAAATAAAACAGGTATATATTCTAGTTTTCTTAAAGAGGTAACGCAAAAAGCTATTTTTTTGCTTGTTTATTTATTTATTTGTTTGTTTGTTTGTTTTATTTTCATTTATTTATTGTTGTTGTTGTTGTTGTTTTTGTTGTTGTTGTTGTTGTTGTTGTTGTTGTTGTTGTTGAGGAAGTTATACTGATCACTCATATAGATTTAATCTAGTTAAACAGATTTGTTACTTGATCTTTGAAATCTCAACCATGTCTTTTTCTAAATTGGTCTAGATTCTAATTTTAATGATAAGAACTTCCAATCTGAGTTATTGGCATTTTATTTGTTTGAGAAAATTATAAGCGGTTAAGGCTTTATAATGTTAGAATACGTTTTTAACAAAGATGTGTTTCGGTTGAAAAGAATATTAAATCACTTTTCTCTTTACCTGGAACAATACGATGAACTTGAGCTCCCTATTTTATTTATATTTTTGCATTTAAGTCTACTCTTATTTAATTAATGTGGCGAGCCAGTTCATCTGGGTCACAGAATCACTCGGTTGTTTACAGTCATACAAAAATCTGTCAACCTCCATCAAATTCATCTAATCTATTATCAAACTTTATGTCAGCTACTTGGATCATTCATTTCTGCTGAGTTTGATGGGGCCTCTTCTCAGTTAAAAAAGTTAAATGGTAGCTGAATTATATGGGACTTTGTGATGTTGAAAACTTGGATGACAAAGTTGGCTGCGAACAAAGGAGGACTAGCCTACCGTATACTAAGAGTTAATACAAAGTAAGATGGAGCGGCCTGAAAACAAGGGAAGTTTTTTTTTACAGCACTTTGAACACAATTATGTCATATAAGTGCCGAAGTCTAGAGGTGTTACAAGGGAGAAACAAACATACAAAGAAGGAGGAAAGACAAAGACGACAGATGGTTTGTAGGAAAGGAGGAGCAAACCATACCACAGCAACCGCCAACCATTGACAGTGGAATTCAAATTCAGGTTTTTAGAAAAGCCAGGTTAGTATAAGTATAATCCACCAAAAGCACCAGTCACAAACAACAACAACAACAACAACAACAACAACAACAACAACAACAGCAACCACAACAACAACAACAACAACAACACCCCCACCCAACAAAAAAACAACAACCCAACAAAATACATGGAACTAAATGTAATGTCTCTCAACCAAACTCTTTGTGCTGCTAATACGCTTGTACCGGTGTACAGACGATTGAACTGAGTCGAAATCGAGTTCATTAGCATGCATCCTATGAAGTCTATTCAACATCATTACAATTTAAAATATTCTGCTTGACAACGTACAGCTTTCTGTGAACTTGTCGATGTCGAATAACATCACGACACAAGACTTTTATCTTCGGCGTGCTGCCTTGAATGCAAACCGCTTTAACTCATTCCCTGCATCTTTCGAAAGTGTAAGCTATTTTTTAGCTTATAAAGCACGTCTGGCCGCAAAGGGGATTCAGCCAGAGCTTTAGGACACTTGCAACACAAGTAGTCATATATAGATTAGACGTGTTACTAAAGAGCTAAATGCAAAGAAAAGAAGGAGAGATAAGAACGATAGATGTTTGATAGGAGAGAAGGAGCAACACACATCCAGAAAACAGCCAACCACCCACAGAGAAGGGGTTCAACTTAAGCTGTGTTAGACCGTCACCTTTCTCGCAGGTGTTGTTGGGCGTGAGCCTGAATCCCTCCACACACTCCCCGCATTTCGTCATGTTCAGCCTCAGACACCTCTTGCAGGTCAACTCTTTCGGGCACTCGTCGTAGCAGTCTAGGCCTCCTTTGCCAATAGCGGGACACACTAATTAAGAAAAACAAAGAGAGAGAAAGGGATAAAAACAACAACACCACTTTATTTTGTCCTCATGAGAGCGTATGTCGTCCATTATTGTAGTTTTAGCGAGAGTTGTACGGTACTTACAACACAAATAGGTTAGATAGATGATTCAGATTTAAGATGTTTCTAGTGAGTAACATACAATGAAAAGGAGAAGCCGAGATTTAAAAAAAAAGATTGATGTTTGATAGGAGAGAAGGAGCAAACCCCATCAGATTCTTTCTTTTGGATTACTTTGCAACTGATGATCGTTATGATGTTCATGATTTTAATATTATGTTCCTGATGAAGCCCGAAATAGGCGACATGCCCAGAATTTAAGTCTTTTAAAATCTATTGTCACAACATTTCCAAAATATCCGTGTGTCCTTAAAATTGTTCTATCTATATCAGTCTATACAGCAGCAATGATAATGATGGTCCTGATGATGATGAAGACAGTGTTTTTTGGTTTTTTGTTGTTGTTGTTTTTTTATTATGTTCCTGAGGAAGTCCATAAAGGTGCAAAGGTGAACACATTTCTTATACCTCGTATACCATTCTTGCAGTTGTTTTAGCATTTCACTGCCGATAAAATAAGTCCTTATATTTCACAAATATAAGCTGATATCTCACACGTAGAATATGTACCTTTGCATAAATTGCTCCGCGCACTATGTTCGCTGTCTAACTTGCTGTAAGCAAAGTACAGATTTGAAACATAATATTCCTAGACCGTGCAATGTTATGGAAGTCGCTCTTTGCCCCCTGTCAAAACTTCGTTGCAAAGCGCGCTCACCATAGGCGTCCAAATGAAGTGCCAAACACCGGTCTCCTAGGGTCCCTATAGTAGAGAGTAGACCCAACTCTCTATGTTGCCCATTTCTTATTTGGCTCCAAATTGAATTAAATGCTGGGTACCATAGTGAACCAGGATTACGTCAGAGTTCGGCGATATATTTTAGCTGCTCCCAGCCTTTGGTCTGTTTTGGTTGTAGAGTTTAAAATCAAGGTCATCGATATTCTCACTACAACATCTCACATAACTGCAGTTTCTTAATTTTTCAAGTTTTGAATCTTACGTTTTCTGCTTGCTTTGCCTATGCTTACATTATTATTGTTTTGTCTAGGGTTTATTTCGCGGAGGGAGACATAAGGATAACACTACATCTAAATTTGCGAGGCTAGAAGTAAAATAGGAAACTGCAGAGCTTCGTAAATGGATGCCTACGAAGGATAGTGGGGATCAAGTGGTACGATCGAGTCACGAATGCTCAACTGTGGGAGAGAACAAGCCAAAGGCCAGTAAAGGGAGATATTCAGGTGAAGAAATGGAAATGGATTAGACACACCCTGAGGAGATCCCCGACAAGCATCATCAGACAGGCTTTAACGTGGAACCCACAAGGAAAGCGTAAGAAGGGAAGACCAAAGATGACATGGAGGCAAGCGTTACAAGCGGAAATTGAAAAAGCGGGGACATCATGGAAACAGATTGAAAAGGATGCTCAGGACAGGCTTCGCTGGAGTAATGTTATTGATGGCCTGTGCTCCACTGGGAGTTAAAAAGGGCAAGAGAGAGAAGTAAAGGAAAACAATCCAGATTTTTTTCAATCATCACTCTGACTCCAACGGGTAGGAAAATTTTGTTTTGGGCGAGGCCTGTAAAGTCCCTTAGAGCTACTTACTAGGGGACTGTTACTGCGTTTTATGACAAAACGCTATAAACAGGAAAAAGCTGATTCCGAGATGTCGACGTTTTCTGATTTTAGTCTTCAAAAAAGTTATTTTTCAATCATTTTCAATTCTATTTTCAAAGATTTGAAGAATACTTTTTAATTTGAAGAATCCAGGATCCTGCTTTAAATGGTACACTTGAATACATTTACCGATATTCATATACAATATGAAGTACTTCGGTCAAAATTCTCAATTTTAAATCATCAACGATCAGTTTAAAACTCAATTTACTTGATAGACTAATATTACTGACCGGTTAAAAGAGCTAGTCTTAATCTTATCACAATTCTCGGATCGCCACCAACATCAACAAGAAAACAACAAGACCACCAACATAGGCCTATCACAGACTTGCCCACCCCGGTAACGAGTTTTACTACTTTTCTCATACTCCCCCCCAAATCCAAGCTATTTTTCACATTTCCAGAGAAAAAAAAATCACATTTTAAAAAGTTTTGATTAAAAAAGTGTCGGAGCTTTGAAAAGAGCTACTGCTGCTGCTGCTGCTGCTGATCCTCCTCCTCCGCCTCCTACTACTACTACTACTATTACTACTACTACTACTACTTTTACTACTACTACTACTACTTCTAGGCTTACTACTACTACTACTTCTAGGCTTACTACTACTACTACTACTACTACTACTACTACTACTACTACTACTACTACTATAGGAGGAAATGTTGATGGTGGCTTGATGACCTGGACCCAAATGTCAAATGTTGTTTCTTTGCAGTCCCCCAGTGCGGAACGCTAACAACTTCCTTTTGTTTTCATATGAGGCTCTAGAATGGATCATATTGTCCAACTGGCTGGTCATTTGAACCTTGTTGGTCTGGATCTCGTTACGGTGGTAGACCATGAACTATCCTACTTTTGAAATTGACTGTTGTAATGTAATCACTCTTTGAAATTCGTGATCACAACTTGGCAACTTCACTCGAAGGATAAATCCTGATCTATCTAACACCGCAACTTATGCAATGAATTATTCATTATGCAATAAAACTTCAAATACTCAAGTCTCCACCAAATTTGTTTTTCTTTTCTTGTTGTGCTTATAAAGACGACGACGAAGACAATAGTGATGATGTGACTTTTTATCTTTTTATCCTGGCCGTATCCCCACGGACTCCGTATCCGTCCTTAGGCTGCCGCGCCGTAGGAGTTGGGATTCAGTGTGTGTATTTCAAAGTGCGGTATTTCTTTCATTATTTACTCTTAGGTTTTAAGGACATTTGGCAGTTATGTTATCACACACAACGGAATTTATGGAACTTGATTAAGAGTCACTTTCATCAAATTAGTCTCATCCCCCCCCCCTCCCCCTACAACCCTGCGCCACTTCAAGAAGTACTTTGTCGGTCGTGAACGTGCGTTTTCGAGATATCTTTCAAGTTTCTACACCCATCAAAAACAAAGAAACCGCTGTTCATTGGAAAATTTGGATATTCAGACAGAGCTAAAATCGCCGAATTTGCGTATTTTGGTAATTACAAGCAGAACTAGCGGTTTGACGTGACAGTATAGAATCGGACTGGTCCTCGTTACCAGTATACTCATAGCCTGGATAAAAAGAGTTAGTACCTGCAGTTTCACAAATGCCGCTCTGCCAGTGGCACGGCTCATTTTCTCCACAAGAACAATCTTCGGTACATTGGGAGCCGTACTTTCCCACGGGACACGAGGACTCGGTGCAGCGAGGGGCGACTTTCATCTTTTCCTTGCAAATATCTGAGAGGCATCGCCCAGAACGATAACCGCAATACGCTCCTGCGGCGCAGGGGCACATTTTTTTACACGAAGAGCCATACAATCCAGGTTTGCAGAGGGACTGAGAACAGTTCAATCCGTCCATGCCTGCTTCACACCCTTGGGCGCACTGCCCTGTCTCCACGTCACATTGCTCTTGGTTAGCGCAAAGGCAAAACTGGTCGCATTTCGAACCGAATTTGCCCAGCGCGCACAGCGTCTGGTCGCATTTCGGTCCCTGCCAGTTCTTCTCGCAGCCGGCTGGACATATTCCGGAGTACAGATCGCAAGGCACCTTGTCGGCGCAGTGACACTGGAACTGACACTCACAGCCGTACCGGTTGTGCGGACAAGGGAGGTAGTCCGTCTTGTTGCTGTAGAACGCTCTCTCACAGCCAGGACCCGGATTCTCTCTGCACACTAACCCTAGATTGGGGCACGCGTACAGAGTTGAGCATGTCTTGTACATCGGTCTCGATATTAAGCAGGCCTCACAGGTCGCTCTGTTACTCGTGCTGCAGTAGACTGTCCTAAACTCAATATTTCCCTGACTGTCAATCGTGTAGAGAATACAGTCATTCTGATTCTTCGGCTCACCCTTTGCCCAAAAAGGGAAATTTTTGGTGAAGGCTGGGCCAGACATGTACCTGTACACGCCGGGGTACTGTGTTTTTTTAGAAAAAGCACCAAGTAACCTTGGGACATTGCCAGGAAGTCCATTTATCTTGAAGACATAAGAGATGTAATCTGCATCTTCCTTGGAGTGAAATTCCGACATTTTCATACCAAATTTGTTACACATCCTATTTTGATTTATAAAAGGGCGTCTCTCATTTATGGTGGCGAAGAAATGGATACACGGTATTCGACCGGCGCCTTTGTAACACTGAAGGTCGCTAGCAGTGACACTCTTTAGAATGCTTGAGGAAAGTAGGATAGCAAACCCGAGTAGGTAAATCATTATTGCGCTGGCAAGCCTCAAAAGACACACTACACACCTATGTAACTGGAGTTAGTATTAGAACTAACCACGAAAGGGGAAAAGCGTTATCCCTTTCCTTCTGTAAAGATGAAACAACTACCTGGGCAATGCCAACTCAACCAAGTGACCCACACACGAACAGTGGCATTGCGAGTAGAATTTGTACGAGTCCTTTATGTGTCGAAATAGTACTTCCCACTACCGGTGCACGTATACAACTTTTACGTTTTCTTGGGATTTCCCTTTTCACAAAAAGGGCATTTGGCGTGAACTCCAAAAATTTCCCAATACAACTTCACTTCACTTTAGAAAAGATTGCTTGTGTTGCCGTTAGCTATTACTGATCATTGTTAACCTTTTTGAGTAATCCACAAAGCAATACATTCCGTTGTGTATTTGACAATGTTTTTCTGCACCATAATAATGTACCAATTTGCTTAGCATGAACCGATATTTTGTCTTTATTGACTGTCTCGCCCGAGTATTAGCTGGCAACGTTTTCTAAGTTCATTTGTTAAATAGTAATTTACTGAGTCAATGAGTTACAAATGTGATGACTAACGGTACATCAAGGCTTACAATAATCCATGTAGTTAAAATGTGTATTTTGGAGGTATAAGAACCTTCCCTTTCTATGCTGCTTCATGCTTGTGCGCGATTCTCAGAATTTGGAAATCTTCAGTTATTATTTGACTCAAAAATTGTTCGAAAAAAAAAAAAATAGAACAACGACAACATACAGTTGGACAAGCTATAGCATTTGGGACAAGCCAACGAAGTTTTGTTTACCCTCAATCCAGAATAAGACAATAACTCACTGCCCGCCACGGGCTCGGAGGACCGGAGAACAGCGACTCTATTTTTTTAAAGCGAAAAAAATTCGTCCGGGGAACAGCGACTGGGCCAAGCGATGATCTCGTGTCGACGGTATTGATGGGGCCCGCCGACGATAATAATGTTGTTTAGTAGACTTATTGAATGTTATGTTCTTTAGTAAAAATAATATTAAATTCTGAATCAGCGTATCAAAATTGACATTTCTCACATGTGACTCTTTTTCTTGCTGGATTTGGAAGATCACAAAAAGAAGCTTTTGTTTTTGTTTAAGATAAAGATTGCATCATGTAACATTTCTTTTAACCACAAAGAGGAAGGGCACCTGTCGGTTTTAACTAATCCCGTCATAGCCTACATATAGATCTACCCCTAAAGTCAGAATTGGGAGGGGCAAGCTGTGGCACAGAAACCTTTTGAAGTTTGTTGACGTGTGGCACAATAAGTCCCAGAAATAGTCTGGCAGATTTAAGAAATCGCAAGGAAATAAAAGCAAAAGAAAAACAGTTGATAGAGTAAATCATCGTATCTAAAATACTCAAAATGTACAATTATGTACGAATTGGAAAGTTTTTTAAATTTTCATTGAAAACGCGAACTCCGTTTCCTCTCGCGGTGGCTCGATTAGCAGTGTGCACACATCGTCGGCGGAATGATCGCGATAGCCGCACCATGTGAAAACAACTGTGTTTTGGAAGAAATGTTAAAGGAAACTGATACTATTAAGTAAATTACTTTATCTGTGGTCTATAATTGTTGCATCAGAGCTCTTCTACCCAGCAGACTAAACAAACAAACAAACAAACAAACAAACAAACAAACAAACAAACAAACAAACTCGGGGTGTATTCAAACAGAAGTTGAATGAAAGAACGTTCAATTTTATCAAGTGCATATGTAGGCCTACTGTATGTAATGTTAGCATCAGTATTTATATCGTTGGCGTTGTAGCCTAGTGGTAAAGGCGCCAGACTTTTTTGACTAGGTGTAAAACTTTTTACAAGGGTTCACTGTATTTTTTCTTTTTGAAATTATTTTCTTAGCTGCATTTTTTTCTGTTTTTTTAAAAATAGTTTTGTTTCTTTCTCTTTATTTTTCGTATCTGGCTTCAGTACATGGATATGACTGACATTTTGAAATGCTTCTTTAAAGCCGCACGTACAGGTGACTGGTGGTTACATTTACAATCCTTGCAAGATATGCTCCCCTTCCTTGCTGCTGCCGGGCTCTCACAGTACACCAAGTCGGTCTATATCTACCTTCAGAAGATGAGACAGCTTGAAGAACAGCACCCATCAGTTTTCAATGCCTTCTCGTGTGGCTTTCACGTTCTGCGTCGAAGTGATCGCTTCTGAGCTGGACTGAGTACTGATCTCGGGATTGAGCAAGTCTTAATGAAAAACCTAGTTTGCTGGAGGACTGACGCGTGGTAGAGGCATGGGAGATACACAGAGAACACAGTGGCTCATGTCCAGGCCAGCTTGTGCTTATATATGCAATGAAATGCAGCGGGTTACTGGTACAGAATTAAATACAAGTCAACAACATAATGAAGTCAGTAATGCCAGACACCCCCCCCCTCCCCTCTTGGCATACTTGATTAAAAAAATCTCTCAACGCTTTAATCGGAGTCGGGTCTTCTGGTTGCGCTGGCGAAGTGCCTTATCTTTATACAGCAGAAGGCGGTACGGAAAATTACGAGTTTGAAAAGTGCACGATGTTGTTCATGACATCTATATGTATGGGTTGGGAGATATTAATTGAGTACGGAGCAAAAAATCAATAAAACCATGGCTGATCTTCAAGTGTTCGGAAAAAGCATGGAAGACAGACAGAAAGAACACAGTGAAAGAGGAAAAGAAGCAGGACATGGTGTACCAGTGGTAATGACGACCCTGTGGATGGTTGGTGGGCACCACTGGTACGCCATGTCCTGCTTCTTTTCCTCTTTCACTGTCCAATTTCACCACAAACTTTCACGGAGTGAGACTTGATGAGACTACATTTTCTGGTTTTTGTTTCATGACGTTGTGTGGTTATTTTTCTTCTCTCAGCTGTGCACAAAAGTTTGTGGTGAAATTGGATCGAAACCACACAGACCACTTATCTGGATTAATTCCACATTTCCTCTTGGCCGCCTTTCGATGCTTAAAGGATGCGTAGTGGACATACGACTTTTCAGACATTGACAGGACGTCTAGCATATAGATCTATACGAAGTCCCACCGACGAATGATGTAATGTTTTAAAAAGAGTATTTTGACATGCTCTGCAAAAAATATTTGCAGTCTTGGAATTCCTCATCTTCACGGACAAAGCTTGCTTTGAGATCACGAGTTTCCATACTGGAAGTAAAAAATCGAACAGACTCCAGGCTTGATCTTGAAAAAAAAACTTTCCTTCATCATCAGCTCCTGAACTGAAGTACAATTCATATATTTCATGACAAACTGCATTGAACCAAACCTTCAGTTGACCGTTGTTTTGATTACACTTAACCTACCTGACAAAATTTCTTCGTTACATACTTTTGTACTGCACAACAACACCGACGACGACAACGATGATGATGATGATGATGATGAGGATGATGATGATGATGATGATGATGATGATGATGATGATGATGATGATGATGATGATGATGCCCACAACATCCCATACCTTCACTGGCACAAACACCGGTCATCGAATGGCATGGCTCACCCATTTTGCACATGCACTTTTGATCGCAGTCCGGGCCGTATTTGCCTACCTCAGGACAGAAGACATCATTGCAGTACGGCGGGCTCTTACTTTTTTCCAAGCACGTATCTGACAGACATCGACCTGTGCCTTGGTCACAGAACGCTCCAGCAGCACATGCGCAGGTTGCCGCACATTCGGGGCCGTATTTACCACGGTCGCAGCTGTCGCTCCGATTACAGCCAGGTCCACTCATTCCATGTGGGCAGCCGCTGAGGCAATGACCTGTGATAACGTCACACTGCATGCTGTGTTTGCAGAAACAACCCTTCTCACAGCTGGCCCCGTATTTGTTTAAAGGGCACCGGGTTCGATCGCACTGTCGCCCCTCCCAGTTCTCTTTGCAGCCGGCCGGGCATGTTCCCGTGTACAGATCGCACGGCACGTTCTCTGCACAGTGACACTGGAACTGACACTCACAGCCGTACCGGTTGTACGGACAAGGGAGGTAGTCCGTCAAGTTAGAAAAATACACTCTAAGACAGTATTGGTCAGCCTCTCTACAAACTGGATTCGCCTTGTTGCACTTGACAACATGGGTACAATTGTTGAAAACGTGATCGAAAACCTGGCAGCCCTCGCAGAGTCCCGTCATTAATTTAGAACAGTCCACGTCTTTATAACCCACTGTGTTCTGGCCGGAGGATAGTGCAATCCCCACGCAATAGTTGTTGTTTTGTTGCGGATAATTCCGTAACCATAAAGGGGAAGTCGTTCCGAAATCTGGTCCTCCCATAATTTGATACTTGTCATTATGAGGAAACATTCTCTCAACTCCTACAATCCGAGTGGTATCAGTTTTAAAGTTGTTGGTTGAAAATATGTAGTTCAAAGCATATTTTTCTTCCAAAGACGTCATTGCCAAAGGACGAGTACCAATACGTTCACATGCCTTTTTGAGTGAAGACAGCAAGACGGGGAATTTAGTATGAGTTATAAATCTTGTACAAGGTATTCGACCTGAACCAACTAAGCACTTGGCATCACAAATAATTGCGGTGTGGCAAATTACGACAGCGAACAAAAATAGGTCAAGCATTGAAACAGCTCCCGGAGGTATTCTACTTAGAGTCATGTTTCATTCCTGTTCTCGAACGGAAACTGTTGGTTGCAAAGTCATTAGATTTAAAAAACAACAACAACAGATTTCTATCTATCTATCTATCTATCTATCTATCTGAGAGAGAGAGAGAGATAGATAGATAGATAGATAGATAGATAGATAGATAGATAGATAGATAGATAGAGGGAGAGAGATAGAGAGAGAGACAGAGAAAAAGAGAGACACACAGAGAGAGAGAGAGAGAGAGAGAGAGAGAGAGAGAGAGAGAGAGAGAGAGTCGCTTCCGTAGATCACAAATGTTGTATGACCAAACTGATACCAGTGTGTACTTTACGTCCCTTTGGAAATGAAAACTCACTGGTAAGCATGTCTCGTTTTCGGCAAAACGATTCACTGTAGTGTTTGCCTCACAGTGAAACGATGTAGAATCTAGATCTAGATCTAGATCTCTCTGGCTAGCAATGCACAGTCAAAGAAAAGACACCCTTTCAAAGAAAGACAAAGAAACAAACAGGCCTGAGTAGTGATACATAAATTATTATGCAGCATTCTTCTTCGTAATAAAGATCTTCGTAGAGATAGATATCTGTCTGACCAGATTCTTTCGTTAATTTTAATAGTTGGATTGAGTCAAGCGGCCTTTGTCGAAAAGTGGCCAACAGCCAGACGATATTGTTGCGGAGGATGAGTTAATTAAATTGTACGGTCTTTGGCGGTGCTAACAGGTGTGTCAAGGGTGTTCGGGAATTCTTGTTGTATAAATATGTGTTCCTGGTGAGAATGTATATTTATAAAATCTAGCTGGATACACCGTTCGATGAACGGACTTGATCCTCAAGTCATTGTGGGACCAGTGCGCACAGCTAGTGAACGGAAGTCTCACTTGTGTACAATGGCGTCTTAGAAGACGGACTTTCCAAAGATTAGAAACTAATGAAAAACTGAAAATTAAGCTACAGTGACTTCAGACTTCTCAATAAAACTGTGCACTCTTTAAATTATTGTGATTTTTTGTTCACATTCGAAAGTTAAGTGGTTTGGAAGTTTTAGGCGGCCAAAGTGACGAACTTTCACAAATAA